GCTTATTAATCCCTATTCAAATTCAGTTTTTTACAATTTTAACCCTGTTTGGCTATTTTTTCAGGAACCAAACCATCACCATATTATTCAGCATGCTCGATTACATTGATTATGTCAAAATTTAGCTGGCTTAGACGGCATCTTCGTTATGTCTAAAAGGTCACTAATACTATGTGATATTTAGATATTTTGGCCGATATCTCAAAAACTATGCATGATATAAAAAAATAGATTTGATTTATGAAATTGGCATTGAATTTTGAGTGTGAAAAGTACCATTGCAAAAAAAATCGAGAACAGGCGATTTTGCAGGTCCTCCTTTGTTTTTCGTTTGGAAAACAAAAAAAAGTTTAATTTCCTGTCTAACCTTGAACTTGAACATTATCAAGTTGAATTTCAAGTGTTTAAAAATTGAAACGGTTAAGGTAATGATTGTAGCGATGAGTATGGTGATGATGAACATGATGGTAATGATGATAATTGGAGTGAAAAGGAAAAATTTTGACAATTCCATCGAGATTTTTTCTTCTTCTTCTTCACCCAACATGATGATAATGTTAACAAGTTAATCATGTGAATGATGAAAATATCCACGAATCTTGATGAATAATGAATTTAGTTTTTTGATCTTTTTTTCTCGTTTTGTTTATTCAATTGAACAAGTATTAAGTGAGTAAAAAGTGCTTTTACTGTGTTGTTTTCATGTTATTAATGTTTTGTTTACCTGAATCGACCTGGATTTGAAATGAAATTTTACTCATCAACCTGTTACCATCTCATGGACATGAATATTTACAAAGGTAGAGTTGAGAGGAAAAACGAGGAAAAAAAGTTTCAACATGTAACATGGAAGGTAGAAAAAAGATGAAAATATTTTAGTTCTCAATTTTTCTTGATGAAACGAAATGAATTAAGCGTGAAACACCGTCAGAGGAAAAACATTGAGTTAAAAGGAGGTTGAAATTTTACTCTATCAATATCTATTTATTGCTTGCCTCATGTCAATTGAATAAATCGGAACTTGTTATTGATAGCGATAATCACAATTCAATATAATCATCTCTGCCTTAAAAGCTTTCTGCTTACTTTTTTACCAGCCAATTGATTACATGTTTACTACTAATGATGAAAATTTCACGGTTCAACTGATGCTCAGCAAACGAATCTAAATCACTCTTTATTCAGGTCGGTAAAATGTCAGAGTTTAATATTACTGGGCGTTTCAATTGTTTATTAATCATAGTCAGCACATTGAACCATGAATAAAACAAAATATATAAAACTCGATGCAGCTCAAGAAAAGTCTAACATGAAAATATGCTGAATTAGCTTTAGGTTCAAGCAAGTCTTATGGTAAAGGAATCAAGTGTCGTTTGAATTTTGCGGTTAAAACGGTAACTGAGTTACCTTAAAACAATTTGATCAATCTTGAGCAAACATTGTTGAAGATCAAATTACAATTTTTTGCATTATTCTTGTGACAATTGATTGTCCATCCAATGACCTTGACTTTTCGAAAGAAATGAACCATTCCATGCGTTTGACAAACTTCCAATAAATCTGGTCCATTCAATTGACTCAAAAGGCTAAGACTATTTTTGTATCAGATGATTTTACTATTATAAATGTTAGCTTGTAGTACAACTTTGTTGTGGCCTAAGTTAACCTAACATTACCAAATATCTCGAAATTTAATTCACCAAAGCCTTTAAAGGTTGTGGTGAATGGTAAATGTTTATTGCGAGGGAATCTCATGAATCGTAAATTGATATCGAGATTTCATTGGTAGCTATCGGTACATCAGACCTTGTCGAAGACCAATATAGCGAAATTAACTGCCTGTTTCGGTGACTTTAAATGTTTAAATATTTGGTAATGCTAAGTTAGGTCAGGTCAGGTTAGGTTAGGTTACAACAAAGTTGTATTACAAGCGATATTTGATACAAAAACACTCTGCTTGTTAATTCTTTAAAAGAGTATCACATTTTGATTGCAACTTTTAGTTGATTAATTACAGCATTTGTATGACATTTAGTTTTTGTAACAGTAATTGAATTGTGACGTTTTTACTTTGAATCTATTTAGCTATTTTTTTCTCCTTAGAAGCTAAGAAACGAGAATGAAAATCTTGAGCTGAATGAATCAACAATTGTGAATGGAAATAATGAGTATATTCATGGGTATATTCACATGAGAATTGATTAGATGTGGAAGGCAAAGCAAAGGTAAAAAGTAGTAAGAATCATATTAATAGTAATATGAGTCTGTTCCAAATACATTATGCACTTTCGTACCTAGTGGATAAAAAAGACTTGACTTGCAGTTTCACTCCATTTCAATGAAGATGCTAGCGGATACTTTCTGACTTTCAAGTAAGAAGGTGGATACTTCAGGAACTGCGTCCAACTAATGATAATAATGTAAGTTGATCCATATTTATCACTTTTTTAAATTACTGATTTCTTTGTTGTTTCTTGATTTAATATTTTCTTTCTATTTAGAGTTGTTTTGAATGTGGTGCTCTCAATCCAGAACGGGTCAGCGTCAGATATGGAATATGGATCTGTTTAGATTGCTCAGGGAAACACCGGGGACTCGGAGTTCATTTGAGGTAAAGTCTATCATATGATTTAGCCTATTAATGGTATAGCTAAACAAACCATGGATAACCTTGAGTAAATGAATTGTTTTCCTTCTTCCACAGTTTTGTTCGTTCAATCACTATGGACAAATGGAAGGATATTGAATTGGCTAAGATGAAAGCTGGTGGTAATAAAAAAGCAAAGGAGTTTCTATCCAGTCAACCTGATTGGAACCCTTTTATGCCACTGAGTGAAAGATATAACTCAAAAGCTGCTGCTCTGTATCGTGATAAGGTATGTGTGAAACAAAACTTGAAAATTACCAATTAGTCTTACAAATTTCTGTCTTTTCATTAGATCGCCACAGAAGCTGCTGGTAAAACTTGTTCCATTGAATCTTCATCAGCAAAAGACTATGTTTCGCGAGTCATTCCTAGTTTCTCGTCGAGTTCGGCTTCCAATGCATCTAAAAATAGCGAAAAACAGTCATCTTGGGATGAAGACGAATGGGCTGCAAGTAGCTACCAAAGGTACTGACCACCACTAATAAAATCTTTCCAAATTTTCATCTGATTATCTACCAGCACAAGCTGCTTTACGATTTCATTTGGATATTCGCTACTTAATTTTAACTTCTATCAACTCATCTATTTTATTTTAAAATTGTATCGATTTTTTATTATGTTCAACATCCGTAGTTATAATCATGAGAATGTATCTCGTCAGAAGGAACAATTTTTTGCAAAAAAGCAACAAGAAAATGCTTCTTGACCTGAGTAAGTATAGTGTCATTGTTTAGTGGGGTTTGGGTTACAGTGCCCAACCTCCAA